GGATATCGTCTTGTCTTTCGTATATCACTAGCTCGTTGGGCCCTTATTTCATCGCGCTACAAAAGTCCGTCATAACTGCGTTACTACCGTCGCAGCCAGCAACTCTCACGTGTAGCACCATCCTTTGTGCGGCGAGATTCACTTTCGCGTTATATTGAAATGCTTCGCGTCGCTGGCAACGCTCAGCTCCTAGCTACGTCGACGTCGGGCCCAGGTGTCATGGGAAAAATGCGACGCTGCGCGCCTCAGGAAATAAGCGTTACGTCGTGGACGTGACTCGGCGCCGACGGCGACGTCACACGTGAATGAGCACCAACGATGAACCTTCGAATTCGTGTATCCGTCGAGCTTTTCACAATTTCGAGATGCTGGGCGATGGAAATCCTGTCGTTGGAACGCGCGAGTTATCTTCATTCCATTCACCTTAACCCCTTTGGTCCTGCATTCTACTTTCCGACTTGAAAAAAGTATTGATTGCTCGCGTATAATAATACGTAAAATCAAACTCGGATAGATAACATACTTTGGATCGTTCAACAGGTTGTCGAACGAGTTGCAATATATCTTGGTACTAAGTTAAGTTCATTTCGACTCTGCTAAACGAATTTTCCAACAGGAAAATCTGGAAATTCGAGTTGATAAGTGGGGACAGGGCAGTGACAAACTTCGGGTCGTTTTCCTAATTTGCGCAACGTTTACGATCCAGACGTTGTACGAGAGTTCCTATAGTTTTCAAAGAAACTACTGCTAAACCCTTACCGTTACGTGTCATTCTGTTAAGTACCGGTTAAAACATTCGTTGAGGATGTTGTTTCAAACAGTATCGCGTACCCTGTGCATCCCTGTTATAACTACCGTTCGGAAAGTTCAAACGAATACGCAAATACGCAGAGTCTACGTATACAGGCAATTTGAGAAATGTTTCCGATGACTCTCGTAACTCGTTAGTTCCACTCTGCGAGGATTGCTTCGGTAAGATTACACGTGTAGGATTGCATCTCGACGAACTGACAATCCTTGAGAAGACGAGAACCATTAAGAGCACTTCTCCACTTTTGGAGTACGCCCTTAGGACTGCATAAATAGATAATGTCAAGCGCGTTATCAAGTTTCCGTTCCTCGCGTTCGTAACCGAAGGCGCGTGTCGCTTACGAAAGCGTTTCTTTCCTGTGCTTTGATAGTTTAACTTCATCCTGCGTACCTCGAACTCCGTTGTCCCATCTGTCAGTGTTTAAAAAGAATCGAATAAAAAGCGCTGGTCGTTATGCATTTTTTTTCTATCTAGAATCTACAAACACCGTCCTAGACGAGCACAATTCTAATCCAATTTTTCGCCCGTTCCGACGTTTTTGTATGGACAAATATCGCAGTATTTGCGGCGGATGGAAAACAAGATACTCGGGAAAGCCCTCGAACAAGATTCTCTGTATAAGAATTTTCTGCAGGGAGACGAGAGGGAGGATATAACATTTTCTTGGCTTCCTGCATGTCAGGGAAATAAAGAGGACCCCGACGCGCTATGTTTCAGGGATGGAAATGCCTAGCTGTAACGAAGCAGTAAGCCGATAATGTACTTACTCGGGAGCGCCTGAAAGAGGATTTTGAACGTGTTCGTGTACGAAAGTCTTATCGTAGATGTAAGAAGACGAATGACGAAGTCTTGGTTCTCTGAGCTCCGAGGAATTTATACTGGCGATAATTCCGTCGCGAGTTGATAAAGGTTACTAAAATCATTCCGTTCAACGTCGAATTTCGTTTACCCACGATGGATTCTGACGTTAATTTTCCCTGATTGTCGAAAGATCTCAACACGGAAATTCCAGCTTCCCATCCCGCGAAATTTCCAATCCATTCCATCGAGTCAGCGAACGCGATAATCAATCAAACGCGATCGCGGTTCGTTAGAAAAGCTTCACAGCGGTCGTATCGTCTGGCGGCTAACGCATCGATTGAAACCACCCTTGAGGAACACGCGGGGCTCGCGAACCGCTGAAATCTGATTACTAGCGTTGCTTTGTGAATCAGTGGTGTAATTAGCGGCCTGCTGAGGCGATATCGAAGCGCACCGGCGCGTTCACTGCGGCCGATAAACGTTGGCTACAGTCTTCAAATTGCTCGAGGTGATAAACGAACGCTGCGTCGGTTGTGATGCGAATCGAATTTTGCAATAATGACGGCTACGCGTGCTGCTTGATCAAATGCTGTTCATCGAAATATTTTAGGAATATAACGATTCGTTACGGACAACGTCGTTTCTCTTTCGCCGAATCTATCGTTTCATTCAACTCAAATATAATTCATAAGCGAAGAAATGGAACTTGGTGATAGTAACTCTACGGTTGAGAACCCGTTGATCTCGAATGATTGCTTGGACGCCGGAACAAATAAAAATACTTCATCTAAAACATAACGGAAGAGTCACGTCCACGTCATAAACCCAATCGTTTTTTCTAATCTTTGACAATGTCTCTGAAAGGTGACAGATTCCCGTTGCGACGCAAAAGGAATTTGCTTCTCCACGTTCCGGTTCGTTGATGGACACTCCGCGATGGACTGGAGTTCCCGTGAAACTCCACGGCCGGAAGCAAATTAGATGGTATGCAAATAAGTCAACTCATTTTATTTCTGTAGTGGACAAATTTGCCAGCGGCCTGGGACGCTACTCTTCCGCATTCTCTATTTCCACATTCCGCGAACTCTGGGAAAATTGCCGCAGGAATGAAACTAGCTTAGGTTCGCCGCGAAAAAGCGACCAAAATACAAATAGAACGCTAACAAAGTGAGAGTCGATTTCCAAACCGTGACGCATGTTGTTACGCTACTCGTTAAACCGAATTCTCCAAAAAATTCTGAACAAACGAAATCGTGTGCAAGGATTGTCGCAATTTTTTGAACAGACCTTAAATCGATATAACGTGCCTATACTTTTTCGAAACATTCGAGTCTCTGGTTTTCATATTTTTCGTTACATTAAATGTGAGAAATGACGTTTCAAGTGAGAATATCCTCTTGATATTTCTGCACGCGGAACGCTCGCAAGAAACCGATTAATGCGGAAAAACGCGTACCGTGTAGCTTCAGAAAAAAGTGCATTTGCATTTTTCCGGGCGCATCGGTGCATCGAAGGGAAAAATGAGGCCGTGAAAAGACAGACATTGTTATGTCCATTTGGATTTTTTCTCTCTGATTCGTGCGAGGATGCATGGCTCGTCGCGTGAATTCTAGATAGGGTCAGTGTATCACGGTTAACAATTTTTCTCATTTTCCGTCATTCCGTTCGTCCCATTACCATAGAACACAGAGAATTTTTGGAGCAAAGCACGGTTCACGAACGGACAAGTTCTCATCGCGTATTTATATTTAACGACGTCCACGTTACGTAGCCCTTTTGCGATGTTCTTTAACGAAACTTTATTCACTTCTATTTGAATAATCCTGTTTAATTAAACTCTACTTCTCGCTCCAGTGGCCCAACTTGGGGGCGGATTAACTTAAACGAACCGACAGTGCCCTCGAGCTGCCGATTCGAGCGGACTAAAAATGCACTTCTTCAAAAAGCAAAAGGTACCGGATACAAGGGTTAACAACTTTTTGGCGCAAACTCTGCTACGAAATTACGGTAAATGCATTAAAATGCACACGGTCCTTTGCTCGCCAGAGCTCCGCGTTAGATTTCAACGATTTCCGTCGCGCTTGCTTTAAAGGCGAGACGAATTTCTAGGTAGCACTCCAGCGACTGGAATCCGTCGTCGTTAGAAGCACCCCGGTAGTTTACATTTTACTTCACCGGGAACGATGCTAATTGTTCGGCTCTCGGCGGGCCCTGAAAGCACAATCGTACCTTCTGGCACGGGACAATGTAATTGATCGCTCCAAACGTCTCGATTATGCGCGCCGTTTGACACTTCGCTCTATTGATGGAGAAATTGATTGGCAGATTTTTTTTTTTCATTAACGTCCAGCTCGGACCGATAGCGTTCCAAATTGACAGAAATCAGAAGCGACAACCGGGACTCCATTGACGGAACTTCAATCGACAGGAGCGAGAATTAACCGAATCCAAACAACTTCCCGACAGAAGCTTTGATTTCCGAAATTGCCGTTCGAACAATTAATCAATTAAAATCCTCTTTGCGACCGACGAGAACGTACCGCGTGGGATTAAAATCGAAGATGAAGTTTATAATCCTCGAATGGTGAAAATTATGCTCCCGTCAAAGCTGATTCATTTTATTCGGTCTCTGCGAGTATCGGCGAAATTTTTAACGATACGAAAAAACAATTAGAATAATCCTACTTTTTATATGGAGATAACAGAGGAAATTCGAGAGCTTTGATGTATGTACGATTCAAATCACAAGAATGGCTATAAAACTTTTTCTACGCACATCAAACTTGTAGATCCCTGCATCGAAAATGAAATTCTGCAAAAGAATTTCTGGCAGTCAATTTGTATATCGAAAAACGACGAAAATTTTCGCGATGATTTTTTTAACCAGTTTTTAGTGACTCCCATCGCCGCGATAGAGTTTATTAAAGAAGGAAATATAAAAAAATTACGGTGGACGTTCGTCAACTCTTGACCTCTGTCATTCGCTTTTCGACTGTCGTTATCTCTGGCGCGTAACAGGTAGCAGTTCCACCCGGTTCACCGTCTTGAGAGGGCGAGGACCTCAACGAAAGAACGATCGGGTATAACATTCGGGGATCGAAGCTACATTTCGTAGAAATACGTGAGGAATTCCATGCTATAGCCAAACTATCGCTGCCTAAATATATAATACACAATTTCCATGGCATGTTCCGTCTGTATTTGAAATCTAAGATATATTTTCGCGCGGTATCATTTTTATTTCTATTTCCATTCTAAAACGACCATTCCGAATAGATCGCCGCGTTGGTTTCATTCGACGTTTACTACCTATACGAATAAATTTAGCCTATCTTCGATCGAAATATTCGGTCGACGTAGACGGATATACTTGTGTGTGTTCACTCACCGAGTACGAGCAGCAGCAGAACTTGTTGCGGGAGCCGAGCCACCATTGTGGGCTCCTTCTCTCGCACATTTATGAATTGAAATCGGCCGATCCCGCCGTGCACCTTTTCTACTCTCACGATCACAGCCGCCCCTTGCAACAACATTCATTTAACGTTCCTCCCAGCTTCCACGTTGCTCCTCGTTCCTCGGCTTCTTTTTTGCTCACGCGCGGACACACACTCGAGGGAAACACACGCATAAGAGAACGTGTCCCGCACTGGAACACAAACCGATCGACGTGGTACACGGTTCCACGTGTTCTCGACGTACGGGGGACGTTACTTTGCTCGCACTGTCGCTGTCACTATCGGAGTACTCTCTTCCATCAATGAAACGTCCACCTCGGGATTTCATAGGCCGCGTGACCAAACGCGTAGCGCTGAAATATCATCGAACGGAATCAGCGTTCAAATTACCTGGTGATCAGCGCGCGCACCCGCAACGGCCGCCTGATCGCGTGGATTTGTTCATCGGGGATGTTGAGCCCCCACGAATCCCTTCGATGACGGCTCGATCGGATCGGTATCGATGCGATCAGACTATTTTCGTGAGTCACGATACAACGTCGATCAGGGATCGCCCAACGTTCAGCGAAATTCTTACAATCATTTATTCCGTATCTCTAACGAATAAAAATTCAACTTTTAATCTGTGCGATGACCAAGTCTCCAGCATACCCAACTTTGAACTTTACCGTGAGCTTAGAAAGTGGTCAACGGAGTCAATCTCACTCGTAAGTGAAATAAATAAATAAATAACGCAAAGAGAGAAAAAGGACGAGATGGGCTGATTTATCGAAGAAACTGGTCAGAATTTTATGGAACGGTCCGAAGGGTTCGAAATATATCGGCGAACGTCGTTGGCGATCGGGTATTCGTAGCGCTGGATGAAAAGAAAAATGTTAGAACGTCGGCCAAATTGAAAACCGATAAGCCTGTCCTTTTCACGAGTTATCTCTTCGCTGCCGTCACTCTTCAGGACTCTGAAAGACGCCTCGTTCCTTCGGAGCAATTAACTTCGTTAATCGATTTGGCCAAGTGCTGTGCTCGTATTTTTTCGACGAACGTCCGAGGACTTCTGCCGCGAATTGGTAAAAATTTTGTACGGGCACTCGGAAGGCACGCGAAACATCGCTGCGAGCAATTATAAAGAAATCCTCTTAGCGATGTTCACGATCGGAAAGAAATTCATCTTTTCGGTTATAAATTGCAGTTTCGCTAGAGCGAGGCTATTAAATAAACCTTAGGCACTAGCCACGTCAGCTACAGCTTCGATGAAAAGGTTGGAGCAACGGTTACTTACGCGCAAAGAAAAATAGCCAATTACCCTTTAATGTTGTTATTCGTTAGGTTAGGTGACATAAAATCCCAAGTAACGACGCAGGATAATCCTTCTCAAAGATTCTCTATATCTGAATTCCAATCCGGTTGCGTTGTTTCTAGCTTTCCGACATGGATACTTTATCGAGTCGACGCTTTTCGTTATCCTCTGCAAGTTCTGCGCCCGATCGACCGTTTCTGGCATCGACGTGTCGATAATCGAATATTCGACGCATTCGGCGTCAAAGCAAAGTCCGTTTCCCACGGCAAATCGATAGCTACGTTTGCTTTGCATGGATTTTCCGACAAGATTGCGAGTCCGCGTGATTCTTTTGGTCCATTTCTCAAAAATCACTTAACCGGGACGTTAATCTACCCGCGGAAGAAAAACGTTCGTTTGATTTTCCAGTTCGGCACGCACCGATAAAGGCTGAGTGCCAGATATGAGACATATTTTGCTCGATGATCAACAAAACCGACACCCTACTCAAGTTTTCTTTGTTCACTGCGAAATATTCGGTCATATACTTTGAGTAACGAGTAGAAAGTCTTTTTTATCCGTTACTCGTTACTCCAAATTTATATCTGAATAAGAATTTTGCCTATTCCTGATGAATCCATTAGAATAAAAATTGCACAGTTGCTTTTCTACGGACATTTCACTCGCTTGTTTTACTCCTGGTAGGATGAATATGCATGACCAGGTGAAGAGTCAGTTCCCGAAAATATAGCTCACCTATTTGAGATTCGTTTGCCTGTGGATTTTTTCAGCCCGTTTTTATAAGCCAATTTTTGCCTCGCTTACTCCGATCCACCGGACGGTCCCGTTTCGTCACGATCGAGATCTAGTAAAACTATCATATACAGCTCATATCAGAAACGAGTTACTAATTTCTATGTATAACGAGCCAATTTTCAACCTTTCGTAAAAGATGCTATCGAATTTAAATGATCGGTCGATTAAAATTGTTCCAGTAAATTCGAAGTAACACCGGAGCACCTTTCTCCCTCTTGACTTCGCCGTGTTCGGGATTAAACTCTCCCCCTTATTGCGCGCATTTCATAAAATGCGAGTCGACAATGGAGCTAAAAGCTTCCATGGCATCGCGACGCTAACGCAATAACGGTGAATTGAAATGGTACGAATTCCACGAAAAGAGTAAGTTGTGAGAGAAATTTCTCTTAGAAAGAAAAAAAACAAAAAGAGAAAGCTTGCAAGAGAATAAAATTCGCACGGCTCCGTAACCGGAGGATGTGCAGGTCTGCGGATCTCCCGCCTTGAATTATCTTATCAAACCCGTTCCCGGTGGCTATAGCGATCTCTCGAGGCCGCTTGGCCGGTTGCCGAGATTTTTCGTGGATATTTCTGTCGTGGCCGTGCATCGGTCTCTGCTCCGACCGAACCGATCGACTAAAATGTAACGCGGAGGCCTAACGTCCACGATCATCCACGATCCGGCAAAATCAATCTACCGTGTTATCTGCGGGCTGGAACGTTCGAGCAATTCGCGAACGATCACGATCGACGATTGGATACTGTGGTATCACGTCCCTGGAACGTGCTCCCAGCACGGGGGAGCTATCGTTTGCACTGGAAAATTGCACGAGGACCACTTTCGCTTTTTCTTTCTTTCTTTTTATTTCTCGAGGATAAGTTCACACGTGGCGCGGCGGTCACGAAGGGTTGAAAAATCGCGGATCCCGTCCCCGAACGGCGAAGAAAGAGCCACGGCAACGACGCGTCGCACGCGGAGTCTCACCGCCGACTGACTAGCGCTACTCTTCTTCGTTCACCCCTCCTGCGTTACCATTCGGCGCGAACGAACCGAGGAGACTCTGCGGCTCCCTCGACCGTGTCCGCTCTGTTAATGGGATCTCAAGTAGAAAACCCGTTTAGCAACGCGTTTATTTATCGGAATGATAATAACAATAGAATGCAACGCGCTTGGATCACTGCTGCGAGGTCGATTTGAGGGACCTTCCACTCGGAAAACGACGGTGAGCGCCGGAAAAAAGGACGATGAATGTAAATTAATTCGAAACGAAAAAAAAAAAAATTACAAAAAAATAGGTTTGACGAATGGAGAATAGTTGATTAATAAGTACGTAGAGATAAAAAAAAAATTGCACAAGTTCAACGCTCCACACTTTATCGCAGTTTTATCATGGCCTATAACGACCACCCGGCTAGCCCTCGCGACATTAATTTAACGCGAGAGCAAACGGTACTTTGCGAATAAAATCACATTCCAGTTTAATATCGCAGTGCGTGCGTTCTGTACCGTATATATATAACTCTTTCAAAAAAGAAGAAATGTATTGAGTGAAACGCTACGCTACGGAGAAAATAATCACGCGTTCCTGCCAATCCGGATTCGCGTAATAGTATCTCTTTGGAATGAAAATATTAATTAATTCACCTGCCTTGTTAATTCGTTTTGAAGATTTCGTTCCATTCGCGGGTATACTACGTCGTCGGCGTACCGTGCAGGAAATCGTGGTAATTCGTTGTGACCAGCATGTCATAATTGCGTTGCCCGATAATTGTCGCGTAATTGTTGTCGCGGCGGTGGTCGAGCAAACTCCAGCCTCGCTTCTTATTTTCCTTCGACGGAGGGGGCTAATTTCGTTTATAATCGAGTTACGACGAGTACCTCGTAAAATGTTTTACCAACGGTAATATAACAATCACACGAACGGGGTTGTTAAAATCATCGTTTCTGTATTTCTCGTTGGACACTCGAGGTATCAGTCTGAAGGCACGATGGTTAAGAATCGCTGGTCCGTAGCCTCGAGCAATCCGTTGAATTCCGGATGGGTCTTCAAACACGGCAATGTGTAACTCAAAACCGATTTACAACTGGGTGGAACGTTCGACCGGAGCAGAGAAGGGTGGTCCATCAGTGGCGTGATCGAAAACCATTGCAAGGTGATCGCGAGCGTAGTTCCCGTGTCCCTTGTGGCTGCGCAACAAAAGTTGCTGTCGGATGAACAAACAACCTGTCATCGATAGGTGACTGCAATCGAGATTTCGCAAATGTCCGTCGTGTACCAAAGCCGACAAGTTAATGGAATCATCAACGGGGCAACGTGACTTGTTTGCTGACTTTGTCGTCTTTTGTCAACAGAGATGGCCGAGTTTTTCGTCTCGATAAAAGTGACAGATAACGAGTAAAGGATAAGCAATCTTTGATGCGTTGCTAACTGCTGTTCTTATTCATCGCCATCGAATAAAACGTTGACGTTTTTACTTCAAAGAGCGGGGACGCACTCGTGGATCAGTCTACCAAAAGAGACGTCTTTGTTTTTCCTACGCAGCCATTCGATTCGTCCTGTGCGTTCGTGCACAATTGGACGATCAAAGGCGCGATAGTCGGGCCTTTCATAAAGTAATTAAACTTGGAATGTTATGGGACTCATTAAACGCAGAGAGGCGCTCCTCGTGACTGGCGTGCAAACGTTTACGTACCAATGCGTCTCCAACATTCGCGATGCCGAGAAATTCAGATTTAATGAACAGAGACCGCACGACGAAATTCTCACGATAAAGGCTGAAATCTATGGCGTTTAGATGCTGCGTCGGCTGCACAGGTTATGACGGAATACGAATTTCGGCTCGTAATAGCGACAATAGGTACAGCTGCACCTTCGATGATAATCAGAAATAGTTAATCTTCAGATGTTATCTTTAGTACCGTGAATGACTCGAAAACGTTGAATGTTTGAATAATTTGTGTCCGGGCTGTTTATTCGTTAGGTGGGAGGTACAGAGTCCGGGTGGGAAAGTCTGAAATTCTCCGTTAAAAGGGCAGGGTACAACCGGCTGATCGAGCACCCGTCACTGACAGACGTCTAACCGACATTTTCCAATTCGTGCGGCCATTCACCGAGGCTCCGATCGACAAAAGCGCTGGCTCTTTTGCAAATTGCAAATTGCAGCGCGGCTGGTGCGCCGCTTCTTTCCCGCTGAAAAAAAAAAAAAAAGGAATCGTCCGAGCGGTCATTCGCTGCGCAACATCGACGCTCGCGATACGTTCCTTCAATTTCCTCGAGACTTCCATTACACGCACACTTTGATCTTCCACGAATACGAGGCCGCTTTGCAAGCGTCAGAGGATCCATAGTGTTCGTTCCACGCGAACTTTCTCTCTCGCGATGCAACGTCGAACGGTTTCCTGGTTGCTTTTCCCGCGAGCCTTTCGCCCCTGACCCCTGAAAAATAACCTCGAATGAATGGAACTTCGTAGCATGCCTTGCGAGTCGATCGAACGAATTTAGACGCACAGAGGAAGAAGGAATTAAGAACGCGTTGAAGAGTACGTAGCAAATAGGAGTTTTGTTCTAATTGCAATTTTTGCAAAGACTGCACGTTTACCGATACGAAATTCTTTCACCGTACCTAAAACTGTAAGAAATTACAAAAAAAAAAAGAGATATCGAAGTTTTTCCAAATTTTCGACTAACCCTCTTAGATATCGGACTTCGTAGGAAGCAGCGCTAAGTTTACGTCGATATTCATGAGAATAATATCCGCCGTTTCCCGATATTGGCTCCCGCGGCGTGTTTGTCTTTCAAATTTCTTCCATCGTCTTGTTTGTTTCTTCGGCACATATTTGACTCTTGTAACGAACGTCTATGATAGTACGTCGCACGTTCGGTGGTTTCATCTCGTATCGGTTCCTGTCGATTTACGAAGATCTGTTCCGTTCTTCAACGGCGTTAGTTTTGCCCATCTGCAAGAAAAATCACGCCTGTGACATCCGCGCGTCGAAGCTGGACGCTTCGCCTTACAGACAATCGTCAATGTCCGCGAAGGCGCCGTTGAGTAAACTGGCGCCGGTCACGGATGACTAGCACGACCAGTCGACGTGTTAACAGGCGGATCGACTGCGGAAAACTCCACGGAGACACATTGACCAGAGATCCTTGTCTCTGCGGTTGAAACTACGGGAGCTAGGTTCGATGTCCTTTGTCAGTTTCTCGACTCGTCGTCTTATCTTCTCCCTCTATTGAACCTCTGCGTCTCGACCTGCATCGTCGAGCTGCGGCGACTAGTCTGATTTTGCGGTCAGCCAATTAAACGTTCAAAGGGATCGCAGCAAGGGAAATTTAATTGTCTTCGAGGGGATTGTTCGGCGATGAAATCTTCGCGATTCGATGCGGATGACATTTGTCAACCACAGTTCCTTCCTTCGACTCCTTTTTTTTTTTTCACTTATCCTCGCTTCGGAAGTAAAGAGCATTTTGGTTTGTCGCTTCAAAGAGATCGATTCACCGGTTTCCTTACAAAAATTCTTGACAATTTTCTGCAATGGTCTTTTGACAGCCAACGGGAGAAGACGATTCATGCCGGTCTCGAGGAAATTGTATTTTTATATCACGGTTTTCAGCCGTGCTACTCTTATTATGCTTCCGAGTAGTCGTTTATTAACGCGATACAGCGACGGGAAAATGAAATGGGCGGCTGTTATGGTGATAATGAACACAGTAATCGGCCTCCCCTTCTAGGGGAGCCGGCGGCCGCATTATTACTCCGGAAGTTTATTTATTCGCGAGAACAAAGAACTTCGGTCGAAAGCGAAACCCTTCCTGTTCGTTATCGTCACCTCGTGACGACGACTTTCCGTTGCCTTGTCAGAGCGGAACATCGACGAAACGCTGTTTTAACGCTCGTAATCGTTCGCGACATTAAGCTTTTGTCTCTTCCCTTTTCTCCTTTGCAATTAAGCTCCAGTTACGGCTTCCCGTTCGTTCGCTCGAGCGGCGAACGGGAACGAAAGGGGTTCCTTTATCGGCCATGGATGACGCCACTTTGCGTGCATGGATTTTCACATGCTTTCGCGCATGACCAATCGATCAGGCTGATTTCCTGTCGCTAGAGTCTATCACTGTGTAGCTCCTCGATCGGTACTGTACGAACTCGAAGAAAACGTAATGCATGATGTTTACGAAAAGAATTAATATCAGGTGGAATTAAATTCTGAGAAAGTTACTATTATTATCCAAATATGAACAAAGAGTACGACGTTTTCGTACAAAGTTAGTCGACTCTCTGTGAAGTCTTGCACAGCGACAAAGGGAATCCAATTTAGGAGCCTATTCCTTTGAAATCTAAAGAACCCTCGCGCAACGCCTAAGAGTGCCTGCATGTAGGTCGGTCGCATCAATCTCGTAGGCGTTATAGAAATTAGCATCCTACAATTTGACGCGAGAAATTGCACGGAAACGGTACGAGGGATATGTTTCTTGGATTTTTATTAAATAACGCGTCAATAGAACCGCACCACCGTACATCCAGCTTCGCGCTGCGGTCGTTACATTAGATACAAAAAGGTGCATTACTCGAAAACGTCGTCGACAAACTAATCATACCATGAATAATATTATAATTTACACGCGGTCTAACGGATGGCTCCTGACATCGGCGGGGCGCGACCGTCGGACCATATTTTCCTCCTCCATCGGGCGTTGAACAGGTTCTTCCGTGTCGCCTGTTCTTCGATTTTGACGACAGATTGCGTCGTTTAATGGGAGTCGGTGCAAGGTCCTGTCGCGTCGTCCGCGCACACGCACGTCCTGCTCCCCTGACCGTCCGGCAGACACAATTGGTCCTTGTTACACCTTCCATTCTCGTATTGACAGACATTGCTCACTGTATCGGGCAAACGAGTAATCGACGAGTTAATTGGTATCAATTCATTTTTATTATGAAAAGTGATTCGTAAACGACTATAAAATTAAACGTGGATGCGTGAAACTTTTTTTAAAATTCTGATTGGTTGCGGTGACCGCAGAATAAATTGAAGTTTCGATTTGCGCTATGCTTTCTGGGACACGCTAATATGCAGTTTTAAAGGAATGATCAATTTTACGGAAAGACACGTCGAACACTGACATAAAACTTGATTTACCTCTTGGACATGACTCAGGAACGACGACTATTCCGTATAATTTACCGCTTCCGCCCGGTGGTATCGATATGGTCGGCTTCCTGTCCCCGCTGCTCTTCATGGCAACCTCGATTTTGTGTCTGCGACGGTAAATAATGGATGATTTAAAGTATCTTCGAGTTTGTTCGCTTTATTTGATTCTGGTGGCTCGCTACAACTATCCCACTTACTATTTCATGTTCGAACTTCACGAAAATACAATCACGATCGTGGTCAAAACAAGCATTATTTATGCGATTTTATATTACGTTCCATCATACACAATTTACAAGAGCGATCAGAGTGTGATTTCGTAGCGACTTACGTTTTCCAGTCG